GTCTCTGTCTCTGTCTCTGTCTCTGTCTCTGTCTCTGTCTCTGTCTCTGTCTCTGTCTCTCTCTCTCTCTCTCTCTCTCTCTCTCTCTCTCTGTCTTTCTCTCTGTCTCTCTCTCTGTCTGTTTGTGTGTCTCTCTGTCTCTCTGCGTCTCCGTCTCTCTGTTTTTCTGTCTTTCTGCCTCTCTATGTTTCTGTCGTTGCTTTGTTCTTTTCAGTCTCTCTGTTTGTCCTTCTGCTTGCTGAGCGCCAGCGCCGCGCAAGAGAATCTGCGCGTCGCACGCCTCCTGGCCCCCGCGCGCGCGCGGAGCTTGATACTTGCTGAGCTGGGTGGCTTTTGCAGCGATGGCAGCGCCGTGCCTGGTTTGTCATGCCCGTGCGCGGCGGACAGCGACGCTTGGCGGCGCGCGGAAAAGAGCGGCGCTTGAGTCATTGCGTATGTCAAGTTTAGCGGTCGCGCGCGTGCGGAAATCGATATTTCTGATCCACACTTCGGACCGACACTTCGGATCCACACCTGTGACCCTTCTTGCTGCGTGCCCATCTTCGCCTGGGGCGTCGCGGCTGCCGGCCGGGTAGCCGTCGTGTGTGCTTTGAGCGACGCGTCTGAGCCACACACACATCCGGGTAGGTGCTCCGGCGCTTATGGCCTGTTGCCCCCCGCAGGGCAAAGCCGGGCTCGGCGTAGGCGCGGGGTCGGCCCCATCGCGCCGCGCCGGGCTGACAAGCGTCGCGTCGACAGCTGCGTGCACGTCGCCGAAGCCGGGAAGCCCGTTCGCGACAACCTCGAGCCGCCGTCGGACAACGGCATGGTTAAGGTCGCGAAAGAAAACGTTCGTGGCTACCCGCGCGCCAGCCTCGCAACAAACCCGGGCGACGGCGCGCTTGAGCGGGGGCGCGCGCGGCGGACGAGCAGGTGGTCACCGAGTGGGCCAAGGGCGCCCGCGCAGCGGCATTCCCGAAGCTCCAGCGGCAGCGGCAGGCGCAGGCGACGGAGCGGGACACGTCCAAACGTGTTGTTTTGAAAAGCGACTCTTGAGCAGCGCGGCAGCGGCAACGCTACCGCCCGGCCCAGCTTGAGACAGCATGAACGGCCCGAGACGCTGGATTGAACGCCCTCCGGTCCAAGCCACGGCGGCGCAGCGAAGCCAGCCGTCCGCAACGCGTGAGCTGCCGCGCGCGTCGATATCGATGGCGTGGCGTGAAAGCCTGCTGGGTTGGCCAGCCTGCGAGCATGCGCGCCAGGGTGCGCGGGTGCCGCGCGCCGATAACCGGCATGGAGTCGGCCCAGGACGCCCCGTACGCCGCGCTGCCGATCGGAGCCCGGGCCCCCCAAACCGCAGGGGCAGCTGCGCGCAGGCTGCGAGCTGGTGCGGGTCACGGGCGAAGTCCGGGTCGCCAAGCAGGTGCTGGAGGCATTGCGTGACGGCGTTGTCGTGCGACTCCGCGTGCGCCTCCGTCTTGGTGGGCGGGAGCACTCGCAGCAAATAGTTGCTGCGCGCATGCGCGCACAAGAGGAGGATGAGCCACGCTGTTTGCAGGTGGGGCAAAGACGGGATGTGCTGTAGCAGCGCATCGTGCTTGACGCGCATGTCCGAGGCTGCGGGCTACAAACTCAGGACGAGGCAGGCTCTGGCGGGACTGCTGGGAGCTGCGGGAGCTCGGCTGGGAGCTTGGGGCAGGGTCGCGGGGTTCAGGCCCCAGGAGACGGGGCGTGGCGTGTGGTTGGACTGCGCCTGGACACGGATGTTCGACTGGGAGGAGCTGCTGGACCGCAGCGAGAAGTGCCGAGGCTGCGTGGCGTCGTCCTGCACGGCTGCGTCCTCACTGCCCTGCTGAGGCCGGAGGGCAAGGGCAGGGGAAGAAAGAGCTTCCGGAAAAAGGAGACTGGGGCAGGAAAGTTGTAGCGGAGGTGCTCCGGCAGTGGGACTGTCGGTCGCTGCCGCCGCGGTTGCAGACTCCAACAAGCAACGGCACTGCAGTAGCGTCCGCGGAGCGAGGAGGAGCAGCTTCCATCCGTCGCTGGCGCCGGGGTCGCGCTGCACCTCCACCAGGCCAGCAGCCATGGCGTTTTTAAGGCGCCGCACACGGCCAGGGCGACTGCAGGGTGTATACCCTGTTGCGCAGCCTCGGCCAGGTCGACTTCGTGCATGGCCGACTTGCGCAGCGGCGGTGGCGCAAGCGCCGGCTGCGGTGCAGCAGTTGCTGCGGACGCTGCCCCGACAATTTCCATGGCGAGGTTGGCGCCTCCATAAAGATGCAAGAGCGCTTCCTGGAAGTGGGCTTGCAAGTAGCCGTCAGGGGGCCGAGCCACCAGGAGCGCGAGGCTGCGAGGCGCTTCGTTGCTCGTGTCGGCAAACGCTGCGTGCGGCCACGGGGCGCGCAGCAGGGCCTGGCGAAGGACAACGGCCGCGCGAGCGTGGCCCAGGGTGACAGCAGGCGCGCAGCGAAGATGCGCGAGCCAGGTTTTTGTGTGCGCCCAACGTGGCGTGGCTGCGCCACGCGGCGGACAACCTCCAGGTCGTTCTGGCCGCCTTTGCCCATGGCTCTGGCGCTCTTGCCGTTGCCGCCTTTGCCGCTGTTGCTGCCCTTTCTGCCGTGGCCACCATAGCCCTTGCCGCCCGCGTCGCGCCTGTCACAGCGGCGCGGCGGGGAAAGGGGGCTCCGGCTTCTGGTCCGGCTGCGCCTGCAGGGTGGGCTCGGGCTCCGGCTTGGCGGGCCTCCGCCATGGCCCGCAAGGCCTCCGCGGTGCCGTGCAGGAGCGCAGCTGCAGGTGCTTCGGCCCAAGCCGGGGGCCCGCCCAAACTTCCCGCGTCGAGTTGGCTGGGGGCAGGAGCTAGAGGCTGCGCCTGGGGCGCCGGTTGGCCCTCGTTCCGGGCGCCACGAGTCGCTTCGCGCCGGGTGCTGATGGACTGCGCCTGGGTGCTGCTGCGATGGGGCTGGCTGCAGCTTTCTTTGGCCAGTTTTGGTGTGCCGTGCTTGATTTGTAACAGCCCGACCCCGACCCAGCCCCTGCTGTGGCCCCGGACGCCCGGCGCTTGCAGCGAGCCCTGTCCAGCTTCGACCCTGTTGACTTGCCCCAGGTGCTCCAGGAACGTGCCTTTACCTTTCAGTTTGTGCCGTCCTTTGCTCGGCAGGCTCTTGCCTTTGCCCTCTCTGCTATCCTCGATGCCGGTGCGAACGAGGGCGCGTCCATGCGAGCCTGGAAGTTGTGGTTCCTGTTGCCTCGCCCGCTGTTGCACCGGAAGCGTGGGGTCAAGAAAAACAACTAGCAAGACTGGGTTGCCCGCAGGGCCGCTGGCTCGAGCTTCTCAGCAAAGCACGGGTCGCCCAGCCACCGGAGCTTCGAGACCCCGCCCGGCTGAGGTTTTGTAGAATTTCAGCATCCCCCTGCACAGCTTCTTTCGGAACTCACCAACCCATGGCGTGCTCGCAACGGCGCCGGTGCCGGACCTTCTGGACTGACTGCTGAGGTTGCCCGCGTGCTCCTCAATGACGAGGATGTGTCCGATCAGCTTGTTCGTGTGCTGCAATTGGTTGCCCAAGCGCGCCTTCCCCCCAATTAAGCCAAAGAACTCGGGCTCGAGTGGCTCACCGCCTTGCGCAAGCCTAACGGCCGGATCTGGGGCATTGTTGTTGGTGATTTGTTTTCGCCCAGCAAAGGGCTGAGGCCTTCGAAGACGCTTGTCACCTGCGAGCGTTGTTCACTTCCTCGCGGCCGCTTCGGAGCTCAACCCGGAGGCGACCAGCGTCTCGGTCGACGATCGGTGCTTTTCATAGCATGAGTAGTAGAGTAGCCAGTCCATGTTGCAGGGCCTGCTTGGCGTGCAAGGGGCAAACGAGTATCTCCCAATTGTCCGGATGTTTTACTCGGAGCCCTCGGAGTACGTTTGGCACAGGTCGGGGGGGATGCCACACATCGTTCAGGCGAGCAGGGCGACCCCTTGATGCCAGCCCTGCATGCGCTTGTCCAGCACCCGGCGTTGGCCCACCAGCTTGAAGGGCACTGCCACGTGCACCTCAACGAGGGGAAGATGCAAGTGTGGAACGCGGCAGGCGGACTTGTCCTGTTGGGTTGGAGCTGAGCGTTTGCCCGATGCCTACCATTGAGGGGTTACCGTTCTTGGGTCCCCTTTTGCCTCTGACGCGTTTGTCCGGTGACCAGGCTCGAAGGTTGCCAGTGTATTGAGCGTTTTTGGCGGGTTGCTGTCGGATGCGGCGCGGGCAGAGTGCAGCCGCCGGCGTTTAAGGTTATGGGGGGGCCTTTGGGTGGAAAACATGGGCGACGGATTGCAGCTGACGCAGACGCAGGACGGCCGCCTTGCTCACCATGTCCTAGGGGACTGCTAGACGGTAGCCTTTGAGTCGGCGTCAGTGATGGCACACAGCACGGCCGCCAATGCATCCGTGCCTGCTTCCTGCAGGGTGTTGAGCTTTCTACATCCTCCAGACCCTATTCTGGACCTAGAAGGGCACTGGGTGGTCAGCACCCAGAGCACCCAGGTTAAGACGCTCCTGCGGCAGCGCGTGCGGGCCTGAGGGCGTGAGCTTCCTTTTTCTCGCTTCCGTCGGCGCCAACTGTCCATGCGTTGGAAAAGAAGGACTCTTGAAGGACAGCGTCATCACGGCGGCAACGTCGGCCTCGCTCAACACGTTTAATTACTATACAGTACAACCCGTGCGGATGAACAGCATTGTGGAAACATGTCGGAACCAGCGCCTTTGCGGGCTTTCGTTAGTCCAGGCGTCCATTTTAGTTATTCGGCTACCAGGTGCTGGGTGCTCTTTGGGGTGGCCTCAAGGTGCTTTAGCGGTTATTTGAGCAGCGTGCTGCTGAGTGCGGGTCAGGGTGCTGCTTGGTGAACTCAAAGTGCCGCCTGGTTGCTGGCGGATGCAAGTGTGCTGGTCGGGGTGCTGGTTAGGGTGTTGTTGCAGTATTGTGAGCTTGCCGCAAACCATTCCAATTTTCAATGTCGGCTCTGTATTCCATGGCGGTGTTCGCCGAGCTGGATCACGCTGAATCCCCGGGTAGCGGCCGGGTGCACTGTTCCCCTTTTTTCCGTCCCTTTAGAGGACCGGAAAGGGCTTTGTCAGGCTGACAGTCCCATGTTTGCTTGGGAAGGTTGTCAACGATGCTTGCCGTTGGATGCTGCCCTGCAGGACGCGTACCGTCTTCAAAATCAGGCGGGCAAGCTTCGGGACGGGCAAGGATGCCCTGTTTATTGATCCGTTGCGGTCTGTGGATGTTTGCACGCCTGAGGTCTCCTCAAATGGGTTGTTCGACTTGCCCTCAGCAGCAAGTCTTTGGCATGCTTGGCTCTGGTGTCAAAGGCAGTCATGGGAGCATGCCAAGGTCCTCAGCCGCTAGTCCTGGTGCCTCAGCTAACCAGGCCTAGAAGATGGGTGCAAGGTTTCCCACTTCAGCAGGGTGCTGCAAAATGAGTAGAACCATTTCTTGCTGGTGGCGAACAAAGTGCAAGTATGACAAGGAAACAAGGTCAGGCACCATCCCCCGCACAACATGCCCTGTGGACCAGAGCGTCGTTCGTGGTGCAAAAAGCAAACCCTCCGTCTGCCAGGCTAGCGACAAGCAGAATCAAGAGCTGAGATTGTTAGACGAATATTCTGTTGGGGCCTCGGCGTGAGCCCTGACCCAGAACTGGCCGCGCCTCTTCACAGTTGCGATGCCGTGCTTCTGAGGTTGGGCTGACACTAGGTGAAGGTGCCTTCGGCGTCGTGTCAGTTTGAGCCCTAGCCAGCCAGTACCAGTTTGGAGGGTTGGCAGAAAGTGCGTTCATTTGGCCAAAAAAACAAGATCGTCATTGATGCCGAGGTATGCAAGCGGCGTGCCACTGGCGAAGAATTTGCCGCGACTTGTCTGCCTGGGCATGTGAGTGCGCCGGCCACCGGTGGGTCATCGTTTGATGACCTGCCTCGCTTGAGTTTGGTTTCCTTTTTTCAACCTGTCCGCGCCTAATCTCCCCTCCACTTCGGGCCTTGCTTGTGGAGTATTGAGAACATAGCTGGGCCAAGGTCAAAATGGTGGACAAGGCCAGCATGGGTTGAGATGGCAACTGGCAACATGAAGAAAGTGAGAGCGACAAAGGGAGCAAGGACTAGCACTTTCCACTCCTGCCGTCGATTTTCCACTTGCAGGTTGAGACGCCAGTGGAAGCCATCAAAAAGGAAGCAGACATGCTCCAGAGCATGGTCTGGCACTCAGCGTCCTTTTTTGGTTCCAGGGACTCTGTGGTGTGCTGGCTTTGGCATGCTTTGACGACGGCATGAAGTTTTGTCAAATTCTGCAACCTTCAATATATTTGTGGTTTTGGTTGGGCTTCTGCCCAGTTGCCAAGTGCCAAGGACCACCCAAATATTGTCAAGTTTCACGGCGTCTACTATGAGAGGCATGCTGCTTGCTTGGTTCGCGCCCCTTGGGGCTGCTAGCAGCGATTCCAGAAGCATTTGCACGGCAGGTGCTTCGTGTGCATCGTCATGGACAAGCTTGACGGTGGCGATTTGGTGGAGGGGCTGCAGCGACATCTGAAGGAGGGGATAGCCAGTTCTTGCCAAACATGAGATCCAAGAAGGAGAGGTTGCAGCAACTGCTTTGTGCCAGTTGTAGGTATGGCTGCAAGACACAGAGCACTCAGAGCACTCTGCAAGAAGATTGTGTAGTGGTCTTGAGCGTTGGCGGTGTTCTTTCCAGGAAAAGGGGCAGATCAACTGCCTTGACGTTGTGCATGTTGCGTGCGCCAGCATGGGGGACGAGAGGTTCAAAGCACCCACGTGGCCTGACGAGCCTCACTTGAAGTGGTTTTTCCTAAACATGAGGTACCCTCCAAAGTGGGTGGTTTCTTGTCGGCTTTTCATGAAAGCTGCCCAAAAAGAGTTTCCGACCCCAGTGGCCCTTGTGGTTCAGGAAGAGTGAGCACGTGCAGGTACCAGATGGCTGCCTCCATTCACTACTTGCATCTCAGGAGAGCTGGCTGAGGGGGCGAAAAGGTGGTTGATTGGCTACGCTGACTGAACTTGAAGTGCTTGGAGGAATGTGGTGCACCGAGATGTGAAGGGAGACAACTACTTGATGGACCGCAAGGCCACACTTCGTTGGTTGTCGCGAGATGGCGTTTTTGGTTGACAGCAGTATGGTGTCCCTCATTCACCCGGAATTCCTTCAGTCAGATTGGGTAATCCTGCAGCAATCCTGCAGCGTTTCCGCCTTGATTGCTTGATGTCCGGAGGTTTATAGGTAGGGCCAGGTAGGAAAGTCGCACCGCACAGCTCATGACGGACAACCAGTGCAAGATCGTGCTGACGGACTTCGGCACAGCAATCGGCCTAGCAGTATTTTTGTTTCGAAGGGCAGCTCGTTATTCATCGGGGTTTGGGGATTTCACCCCTGGTTCTTGTAGGCAAATATTAGACCAAACCTCCAAACCACCAATCCAAACCACGCTCGTTTGCATGGGTTGAACCGGGAAAAGGTTCGAGGGGCCAGTGCCGGCTTTTGCATGTCATTGCATGTTTTAGCGTTCTCACCTGTAGGTGACATTTTTCAAGGCCCTAATATTTGTTTTTTGGATGTCAGGCTGCAAACGGTCTTGCACCACGTTTGTACTATCATGGGCCACACCTGCGGATCCTCGCATTCATATCGCTTGTTGAGGCAAGATGCAGCCTGCACACTCTACAACTGAAAACATGACCCAGCCACTTGAACGAAGAACTCAACACGAGCCTCCAGCATGTTCAATTCGACTTCCGAACATCAAGATTAGATGCGCATTTTCTGAGATGTTATGAGACTTGCCAGCTCTTTGCCCCCTCACAGCCAGCCACCGATGCCGATATTAGAATGACAAGAAACAAACACATGAAACAGCACTCCCAGCAAAAAAAAGAGGCACACACGCAGAATACGTCAATCCACCCTGAACATTGCAAAGCCACTCCGGCCAAGGCCTGCCACGCTTCTACCACCGACCGGCTCTCTTCTGGGGCCAGGGCTCCTGCTCGCAGTATGATGTGTGGCAGAGCGAAGTTCTCGCGGTGATGGTCCAAGATGGCAGCTGTACTTGTGACGCGGGTTTTATGTTTGCAAGGCGGCACAGTTGCCGGATGTGCTAGGGAGCCGGGGTTGGAGTAGGGGTGAGCCGCAGGTTTGGGAGGAGTTGGGGAGAACTTTGGTCTTTCATACTGGGCCTCCCAGGTGTACAAACCCTCCCAAGTGTGCCATGTCTTTAGGAGAGGGCCTTCTTTGTGCCATGAGGTGGGCACCAAGATCTTCTGGCCACCGGAGTTCTTCGACCGGGACTATGGCCAGAAGGCAGCCCATCAGGGATTTCTTGGTGTAAGTTCGTTTCTCGGGAGCTTGGCATTATCACAGGAATAAGCTATTGCAAGCGACCAATAGCAACCACGTGGTGGTGATAGGGCCAAGCTCCTACATGTTATTATGAGTACGTGTAACGATTTCGTTTTCTGCGACCAGTGGCCATGATAGACGTCTGCGCTTAAAAGACATACGTCGCCGCCTGCAGGTGGACGTGTGGGCGATGGGCGTCATCATGTATGGCCTGGTGAGTGGTACCTCGGCTCGTGAAAGAGTTGACTGGGCAGGTAGTTTTTAGGGAACTAGGGCGGTGTGTTTTGTTTATGTTTGTGCTTGACTCGTTTCATGTCACATCCGTCCTCAGGCCGTTTTCCCTTCAGAGATGAGAACGATGTCAGGCGGCATGGCGGCATGATGGCATGTGCCTTTGGGGCGGAAGCTGCGTAAACCCTTTCTCCGGCAAGAAGCGGCTTGGGCAGGAACAAGGAGGTGCGCATTCCGAAGCGCGTCCACCCTGTCTGCGAGGACATCCCACCTTGTGATCACAAATCCACATGTCACGCATGGTAAGCTCCAGTGATTGCATGTAGCGATTGTCTCACACCTAGTATTTTGGCATACTTTCGAGATTTAGTATTGTTTGTGTTTTGGAGGGTGTGGTGAGGGATCGGATTGGCCCTTCAGTTGACCAGTCTGGCCTCTCGTCCGTTTTTAGTGTGCGAGGAGTTCATTCGCAAGATGCTGGAGAAGCCAGAAAAGACGAGGATGAGCGCAAGCGATGCGGGTTGCTGAGTTGTTCGCATCTTGGGAGGCAGACTTGAAAGGACAGGCCACTAGCTGCACCAAGGTCATGAATCATCCTTGGATCGCCGGCAAGTTCGGAAAGTGCGCCCCATGCCAGTCCTCTATTGATTTTCTGCCTAGATAGTTCCCTCTTGCTGCAAATCCATGGGCCTTGTTGCGTGATGTGCTTCCGGTGCGATTTGGAGCTTGCTCCCCTTGTGAGGGTGGAGGACAGCAACGGTGCCAACAAAGAGGAGCTCGGTGCTCAAGAGTGGTCGGGGACACCCCCAAGCATACACAGGTGCAGCCCCCCTTAATTCTTTCTATACATTGGTTTGGGTAGACTCGACCATGTCAATGCCAAATGCCTGGCTCTAAGGGAAGGCGACAAGGATGCTGATGGAATGGCGGAGGCGACTTGGCGGAGCAATAGTTGGAAATGGAACATGCAGGAATGTGCTTTTCGCACCATCTCAGCCCGTCGGAGGTGACAACAAAGTTCTTAAGATCTAGGCAAAGCGCCCCTGTACATTGCCCACAGGGCGGTAGGGGGGTGAAGGATGCGATCCCAGAAACTGAGACAGTTGGAAGCTGGTCTTGGTCTTTCAGGGCCCCTTTCAGTTTCCATGTTTGTGGTTGAGACCCCAAGTGGCCAGGCCGGAGTGAACGACGGGATCAAGGAAAGGCGCCAGGACTGTCGGGTTCTTGCACCGCAGGCAAATTCGTAGGTTTGGCACGCATGGTCTTTTGTATGAGTTGGAGAGGATTGCTTCAGAAGGCATGGCTGTGCTTATTGCCATGGATTGAACGGCGGTAATCCCGGTCAGCAAACATTTTGTCAAGTAGAGGTTCTCTTGGAGCAGAATGTCGGAAATCTGAGTAACCCCAGGAGCTGATCCAGCGCATGAACCGGGAAGCGGAGAGCCGCAAGGGCATTGCCACAAAGCGCGGGGCCTGAGCAAGACGGCAGGGTTTTGTAGCATGCAACCAGATGCTAAACGTATCTTCCAATTCGCGAGATTGCGGCTCAAGTGCTTCAAGGAAAGCTTGTTTGTGCCTAACGGGTGTCCACATTTCTCAACACTGTCACATCATGTTTTTGGACTCATGGCCCTGCAACACTCCACTCCAACATTGATGCAATCTCCTCCGGCGAAGATTTGCATGCTGGGTTGCGCCAGATTTGGTTTGGCTTTTTCCAGTGCCGGTGTTACTTCAGGAAGCAGCTCTTGAACCACAAGAACAAGAAGTTTGTGGTTGACGGCAAAATCGTGCCCCACTTACGTGGGTCTGAGGACGTCCTTTTCACTCTTGCTTGCCGTGTTTTGATGTGGTGCACGGTGCCGTGAATGATGCCGCGTTGCTCGGCCAGGTATTGCATGCATGTTTGCAAATGGAGAAATGGGGTTGGGTCCTGCAATGGTAATGTTGGGTGGGGAAAGGTGCAGGGCCGCTCTCGAACATTGGAATGCCTAAAACGAATTGGGGGTCAGAGTTGGACCTCGAATAGTCTGTACTGCTTAGTACACAACTATGGCCCCTTTCGGAGGTGAGAAGCATGATCCCAAGCCCTGGCGATAAACAAATGCCAGGGCCAATACCGACTAGAAACCAATACCAACTGACACTGTACAGGGAAGCCCCAAAAGTTAATATCAACCAATGCTTAAGGAACAACGCTCTCTGGGCGAGTGCCGAAGAATACTGAGCCGGTACGAAGGAATACTAAACCAATACTAGCCAATTCTACACGGTACTGGGCCAGCTCACTGAATTTCCTCCCCCTTTTCATTCCTTTTCAGGACGGGGAATAATTTTGTGAAATCTTTTGTTTTGCCTCCCCTTTGATTTGCTCTCCGACATTACCCGGGACTTGGAGCCATGTGATAGGTACAGGGTGGCAAAGCCTCGTACGAGTGGTGGGCAGAGGATCAGGCCGCGAGCACCGGAGACGTGTTGCTAGCTGAATTCAAGATGGTCCTCCATGTTGCTGCCACCCGAAGATAATGAACAAGTAGCTGATTCCAAATGGAGCGCTGATTGCTCACAATGTTCTTTTTCAAACCATTTTCTGATTCATGGCCAGGCCAAGAAGGACAAGCTCCTTGACTTCGAGAACTTGGCCGTTGCACCAAAGGAGGGCTGTTTCCGTGCGTGGAGACCCTACAATGGTGAGATCCGTCTGGCTTCCCTTCAAGCCGACCTGAAACGGGAACGTCGGACGGCGATCCATGGGAAGTCGGCAACCCTGAGCCCTGTGCCTCACAAGAGCAGTGGGATTGCACCCCTGGCCACAGGAGGCCACGGAACGAAATGCACGCATTGGAAAGTACACGTGGGGTGACATGCTAGCATTGACTGGAATTAAGTGTCAAAATAGTGGGGGATAAGCCAGGCAAGGAGCACATTGGTGGAGGACTCCAAGCAAAACAACTAGCTTGCAAGAATGCTTGACCAGTCTTTCGTTGAGAACACTTTCCGCCCAGAAAATCAAAGGCGGCACAGCTGTGCTCAACGACACGTAGCTGCACCATTTATTCCACTTTTCTTTGCTTCCGCTTTCTTTCAGCGTCACTAGTAGCGATGCTTGAGGACGACCTCATGGACCTGGACATGTTCCGCAAGACGCTCGTGGAGCCAATGCCCTGGGGCTGTGAGCGGCTGGCGTCGACTGATGTCATGTACCCCTTTTGTAGTGCACCTGTTGGGTTGTAATTACCCCAGCTTGCCGTTTGCGGGGAATCCCGACCCTCTTGATTGGTCGTTTGACAGCTACCGTCGTGCATGGCTTAAACAGCTATGGGGGAGATTGCGGTGCACGCTTCCCTGGTTGAGTTCTCCCCTTACCCACATCCGGGAATTGCGCTGTTGAATGCGAGGTACCCTGATGTGCTCTCCCAGAAACTACCAGATGTTATTATTATTTTTCATGATTACTCACCAACTGCTTGCATGATGTTGTCTTCTTGGCAACCACTTTGGCCTGGGTCACCCGCGCGCGACAGTCCTGGAATCCTTCGCAGGCACAACATCGACCCGAATCAGTTCGGCGTGGGCAAGGCAGCGGGTTCGAAGCGGTGGGGGACGGGGGACGGGGGAGCGTGTTCTGCAGGTTTTCCTTTTTTTTTTTTGGTTGGGGGGGAGGTATGGTTAAGAATCAAGAAGGAAACCAAGGGTAAACCAGAGATACTTGGAGTTCCTTGTTTTGAGACAAAGTCAAGAGAAGTTCCTTTCTCCATACAGAGGGGGTGATTTGTTCTGCCCAAACGTGGCATTTTGCGCAGGCCAAGGGAATCGAGCAACTGGCCAAGGAGGTGGAGACGGGCGCTTCCAGGCGTGCTCCCACAAATGAGTCATATTCATTCCGCCCCAAAGCACTGCACTGG